CTGGGGGTCGGGAGGGGGTCAGGGAAGCCCCAAGTTTTCTGGTGGGGCTGAGGCCAGTGGGGAAGCATGTGTTTGGGGGTGTCTGCGTGTGTGAGAGAGGTCACCCTCAAACCGCACTGCCGGCCAGACCACCTTGCTGCTAAGGACCGTGTCTGGCCCCTCTGGGGGCCACAACCCCAGAGCATTAAGGACTTGGAGGAGAAAGCACAATCGGAGGAGAAAACAGACCCAGACCCAGCGGCAGCGCTGGACGTGGCCTGGCCCCGGGCGATTTCTAGCTGCCCAGCCAGGCTTCCTGGAGGACTGCTTTCTCTCTCTCTCTCTTTTTTTTTTTTTTTTTTTTTTTTTTACGGTTGCACAGCTCTGCCCCGTGGGGGGCCTTTTTTACACACTGCGAGGCCCAGCTTTCTGGGGGGACTTTTGCACATATCATGTGGCTCTGCTGGGAGTCGCTTACGTGGAAAACTCCAAATAAAGTGCGGCCTGTCGCAGAGGCTTGGCTGCTGTCGTGCACGTGCTTTCTATGGGTGGCCACCGTCTGTCTGGGGAGGTCTGGCATTTGGGGGAATACTTGAAAGAACCAACGGCAGGGGCCTCCAGGATTAGTCCTCAGACTCCTAGAGAGTTGGCAGGTGGGAGAGGGAGGTGAACACTGTTCTGGAAGACTGCCCTATGGCTCCTGGGAGGCCAGCTTCCTTTCAGCCTGATCTCAAAGATGTTCAACAAATTAGGTCCTTAAAACAGTGAGCACAGACTCCAACAGGAAATGTTCTTCACCCAGCAAACAGGCGGAACCCCATGCAAACCCAGGAACCTTCAATCCAGCTAAGTCCAGGGTCAGATCTGGACCTGTTCCGGTTCCAGCAGCAGCTCTGACCTTGCTCAGGACCCCAACCCAAACCAGCCTCCTAACCAGTCACCCTGGCCTGAGCTCTTCCCTTAGTCTCCCTGGCCCACAAGCATCTGCTGGTAGCATCCGTGGCCTGCCCACCAGCCTCTTCATTCAGCCTCCCTGGCTCAGACCTCTGAACTAGTCTCCTAGGCCCACCGCCACCTCAATTAGCCTCCCTGGCCAGCCAGCCTCTTGATGAACGTAGCCTCCCTGGCTCACAAACCACTGAACTAGCCTCCCTGACCCTACAGCCTTTTCATTTAACTTCCCAACAGCCCCTTACCTGAGCCTCCCCTGGTCCACCAGCCTCTTCACTGAGCCTCCTTGGCATGCTTGCTTCTTCTATTAGTCTCCCCGGCCTCCAGCCACTGGCAAGTCTTCAGAGAGGCCCACCACCTCTTCCCTCAGCCTCCCAGGCCCACCACCTTCTCCCTTAGCCTCCCTAGTTCACGAGCCTCCTCCCTTAGTTTCCCTGCCCACTAGCCGCTTAACTAACTGCCGGCCCTTTAACAAGTCCCTTGCTCACCAGCTTGCAAACTAGCCCTTTGGTCCCACGGCATATGCGCTAGCCTCCCTAGCCTGCCAGCATCTTTCTATGGCCTCCCTGGCCCACAAACCTCTGAACTAGTATGCCTGGCCCATGAGCCTCTTTACTAGGCCCTGGCCCACCAGCTTCTAAACTAGACTTTTTGGCCCATCAGCATCTTAACCAGTTTCTCTAGCCCACCAGCTTCTTTGCTTACCCTCCCTGACCCACCGGCCTCTTCCTTGGCCTCCCTGGCTGCCAACCTCTCAGCTAGTCTTCGAGCCCGCCAGCCTCCAGACCTAACCTCCCTGGCCTTACGGTCTTTTCACTCAGCCTCCCTGGCCAGCCAGATTCTTAACTAGTCCCCATGGCCAACTAACCTGTTCACTTACCCTCCCTGGCCCACCAGGCTCTTAACTGGTCTCCGTGGAAAACCAACCTCTTCAGTTAGCCTCCCTGGCCTGCCACTTCTTCACCTAAGCCTCGCTGACCCACTAACGACTGAACTAGCCTCCCTGGCCTATAGCCTTTCCCTTAGTCTCCCTGCCTTTAACTAGTCTCCCCGGCCTGCTAGCCTCTTCACTACTCTCCCTGGTCTGCCGGATTCTTAACTAGTCCCGCAGGCCCACCAGCTTCTAAACTAGTTTCCTTGGCCCATCAGCATCACTACTAGTTTCCCTGGCCCGCCAGTCTCTTCACTTGACCTCTTTGGCCACCAGCCTCTGAACTAGTCTTCCTGGCCTGTCAGCACCTTATCTATTCTCCATGGCTTGCCAGCCTCCTAACTAGTCTTCCTGCCTCACCAGCTTCTTCCCTTAGCTTCCCTGGCTCATCTGCTTCTTCATTTAGCCTCCCTGGCCCACCAGCCTCTTAACTAGTCTTCCTGTTCCACCAGTGCTTAAATAGTTCCCCTGGCCCATCAGCTTTCTACTAGCCTCCCTGGCCTACCAGTCATTTAGCTTCCCTGGTCACCAACCTCCGAACTAGTCTTCCTGGCCCTATAGCCTTGTCACTTCGCCTCCCTGGCCTACAGCCTCTCCCCCTAGCCTCCCTGGCCCCAGCCAGTTCTCTCAAACCCATCCTCCACACTGCAGCCTGAGAGGCTCACATTGAAAGGAATTTGCGCCTCTCTGGTTCAGGCCCTTCTGCAGCTCCCTCCGGTTCCAGGCTAATGTCTACTCTTCCTCACAAGGCCACCAAGTTCACACACCAGCATCCCCCACCAGTTCAGGCAAGAAGTCCTGAGTCAGAGGCGCCTGGGTGGCTCAGGTGTTGAGTGTCTGCCTTCGGCTCAGGTCATGATCCCAGGGTCCTGGGATTGAGCCCCGCATCGGGCTCCCTGCTCAGGGGGAAGCCTGCTTCTCCCTCTGCCACTCCCCCTCCTCTCTCTGTGTCAAATAAATAAATAAAATCTTAAAAAAAAAAAAAAAAGTCCTGAGTCAGACAGTGTGCCCACTCCCCACCACACCCTCTACTCCAACCCCACTTTACAGCTTCTAGCTTCCTGGGCGTCCAAGCTGCAGTTTGGGCCTGTGCCTGGGAACCCCCTTGCCTCTCCACCCCCCTCATCTCCTTGGCTCCCTCCCTGTCTCTCCTGGATCTGCCCCCCAGCTCCCAAACTGCCCCAGGGCACATCTCTGCATTACTACACTGATCTGTGACTTTGTACCTCCAGACCCTCCTCCCCTACCAGCCTGAGCTCCCTGACCCTGGAAGATCTAACACAGACATGTGTGACACATGAATAAATAATTCAGTAGCCAGAGCAGGGCAAAGAAGCATTTCACTCAATTGACCCCTCAACTCTAGACTTGCCCCCGGACATTTCAGCACATAGTGGTGGGTCAGTCAGAGAAGACCACCCTCCTCACCTCTTTACTCAGTGGCCTATCTGCCTCTGTGCTCTTTTTTAAGTTTCTTCTTCCCTTTCCCCCTCCTTGCTCTGAATCCTGCTCCTATAATATCCCTCCAGGGCCTCTCTTATGTTTGCCTTCCTCCCCATCCTGCAGGGAGCTCCCTGAGGAAAGAAATCGTAGTTGATCAGTCTTGTGTCCTCAGCCTCCTCATGGCCACATTTGATAAATGCTGGCTGAATGAATGAATGTATGGTGAATGTGCCCAGATCCTCACTCTACCTGATAAAACCAATGAAGGCAGGATCCATTCTCTTAAGTACCCAACCACTTGTGACCATTGTGGGCCGGTTCTGGGCCAGGCACTAAACCGGGTGCTTCTACACACACCCTTCCTCATTCTCTACCCTCCCTCCCCACTCACCCCAGGTGTGAGCACTTTCCTGAATTGCCAGTTGGCCTCCTCCTCAGCATCACCCGCTTTCCACCTGTGTGTTTATAGACGTCCAGCCCAGCTGCTCTTCCCCAACCAAAGTATAGCCCTGGGTGCTGAGCATTTGTGGACTCTATCTCACTTAACCCTAACGGCTCTATCAAGTGGGTGGGCATACTACTATCTGAAGAACTTGAGGCCTTGAGAACTTTGGTGATAAATCCAACATCATACTTCTAAGTAGCAAGGCCAAGATTCAAACCAGGTGTGCCCCAAAACCCAAGGCTATCATACAAATAACCACTAGCCGAGACCATCTGGATGTCTCAAGCACTCTAAACTCACAAACCACATGCTGAACACCAGGATGCCTGTTGGCTAAAATGGAGGAGGAAAGAGTGAACCTTTCTCTTTCAGTCTGTATTTCACAGCGCTCACTCTCTCAGTAATGTTACTGCTATCCACCTAGTTGCAATGGCCAGAAGCCTGGGCGTCACCTGGGTCTCTACTTCACTCCCCAGACACATCCAATCTGAAAACCAGTTTTGTCGATTCTGCTCTAATATCTCTTGACTCCATCTCCTTCTCCACATTCCCATTATCACAGCCTAAGTTCTGACCACCATTATCTCTTACCACAATGGTATCCTTCCAGTCTTGCCTCTGCACACAGCACTGTGACGGTGCTATCTCTAAAACATGTATCTCACGAGATCATTTTCCAGTGACTTCAGGATAATTTGTCCTCAGGATAACTTCCAGATTCTTTACCTTTGCTTGAGGGCACTTATGCTCTCTAGTCACTAAGCCTTGGCATATGCTGTTCCTCTTGCCTACAACACCCTCTTGTCCTTATTTCTATCTCCTGAATCCTTCTGGCGATCTTCTTTGAGCACACCTTCCCCCCAGTGGGCTAGTTACCCCTTCAGTGGATGCTTCCACGTCCTGGAATTAACTTTAGCAATTAACACACTGCTTTGTAATTGCCTGTTCACTTGAATTCCTACCTCACTAGTCAGTGTCACCATTAACTTGTTCAGTCTTTTATCTACTAAACAAACAGATACTAGCTGTTAACTGCGTGTCATAGTTAAATACTTACATACACGATACAGACCCGGACCTTGCCCCAGAGAACAGAAACCCTATCTTCTCTTCTGGCGTCTAGGTATCTATCAGTAGGAGGCTCAACAGGTTTGTCGAATGAGCGATGGAACGCGCTTGCGTGAGCCCGTGGTGCCGCGCGCGCTTCTGGGAATCGAAGTCCCCAGGTTCAGGCCTCTCTTTATGGCGCAGGCGTATTCAGATTGAGACCGTTTTACTATTAATGCGCATGTCCCGGGAGGCGGAGTGGTGAATTGCGCATGTCTAAGGGGTGGAGGCGCTGTCGAAAAGGCGGTGCACTGCGTAGGTGGGGCTTCGGTGACTTCGGGCCGTCGCGGACCTGCCTGCGAGAATGGCGGGTAGGGGGAAGCTAATAGCGGTGATCGGAGACGAGGACACGGTGACTGGCTTCCTGCTGGGCGGCATAGGGGAGCTTAACAAGAACCGTCAGCCTAATTTCCTGGTGGTGGAGAAGGATACAACCATCAATGAGATCGAAGACACTTTCCGGTACGGTAGCCCGCGAGGCCTGAATGGGACCCGCTGCCTTGGGTGGGATCGCGGGGACCTGGCGGGCGGGGCCTGCGCTGGTCGTCCAGACCCCGCTGTCGAGGGTCAGGGAAGTCGATTCGGCCGCCCTTCCGGAGGAAGCCTCTGTGCTCCAAGTTCGCTTTTGGGGCCTGGGGGAACCCGGGCTATGTCAGGTCCACGAGCTCATCTCTCACATGACGGTGTGTCAGGAAAGAAGGGGAACAGAGCTCATGACGGGCGCCGCCCCTCGGCCCAACCTTCCGCAGGGTCAGCTTCGCCCCAGTTCATCTGTAGAGCAGACCCCCAGCATTGCTAGCACTCGGCTCTTGCGAATTGACCCCGCAAGGAACCATACACTTCATCGGAACACCTAGGCAGTGGGGTCGGGTTGTCTTGTGTTTTCATGTCCCTTAGAGGCTCACAACCATCCTGTAAGCTAGGGGTTATCATTCCTCTTGACAAGAGAGGTTAAGGCACGTACCAAAGTCACAACATTTGGAAGAGAGGGAGAGGGGATTTGAACCCAGTCCCAACTCTCTAAAGCCAGGTCCACGCTTTGCTTGTACAGTTCTCTCTTAGAATTTCCCATTGTCCCGAGCACAGCCGGCAGAATATTAGGGCAGTATCCTACTTTCTGCTAAGACCTTGCATGTGAAGGCCTCATCTCTTCCCCTGGGTCAAGAGTGATAGCTTCATAGTGTGAATGCAGGCATGTCCCTTAATCCAGGAGGTGTCCTGGTGACTTGAATTGAGAATGCCAGGCCCTGTGCTTTCTCACCCCTTCTCTAAGGCCCCTGTTGCCAAGTCTCAGGGACAAACCATGCTCACCTGTTTTCCCCTACACAGTCCAGCCCTGAGCTGCGGGCTGAGACTGGTTCCTGCTGCCTGGGGTATGATAGGCCCTGAACTGGCCTGATCTTTAAGCGTTCTGGTAAAGTGACCCAAGTTGTCAGGGGAGAAGGACAGATTTTACTCCAAGAACTTTCCATGTTTCTATCCAAAGGGACCCAGAGATCATCAAGTCTAACCTGCTCTGGTGCCTGGCACAGAGCAAGCGCTCAATTAGTTTTTAATATTTTAATTAATGCGTGGGTGATCACAAAGAAAGAAGAGCCCAGTGCTAGGCTCTCTCTCTGGGGAAAGTATGATTTTCCTCCTCTTGTGTTGTATTCTTGGCTCACACCAAACTTCCCCTCCGATCCATCCCCCACCCTCATCAGCATAGACCTTAAAGCCTTTAGTGCTCTCATCAGCCCCCTTAAAAAAAAATGTTTTCCTTTGAAAAGTTAAAAGTATTCATGTGGCTTGCAAATTAATATTTAAAAAATACATAAACATTGAAGTCTCACTCCCACCCCCACCCCCGTCTTTTTCTACTTCATTACCTCCCTCCCTCCTCCACCCATGTAAACACTTAATTGCCTATTTACCTTTCTGCTTTTTCTTCATGTCCATACAGAGGGACAGGCATGCACATTCTTATCCTCTTTTTAACACAAACGCAACATACAGAGAATACACCAGTGTGTGCCCTAATCCTCAGCACCAGTTCACTTGGGAGCCTTCCAAGCAGGGGAGGGAGAAGCCAACCCTGACAGCCAGGGCCCTTAGGTTTTTGAATTTGATCCTGGTTAGGAACTCTCCAGAGTCTAGCTAGCAACCTTTGCCCTTGAACTCTGCGGTTTCTGGGTCAAGCCCATTCCCCTCGGCAGCCCAGCCTCAGCACCTCTTGAGTTGGCTGCCCTGGAATCCCTTCTCCTCTCTCCCAACAGGCAGTTTCTAAACCGGGATGACATCGGCATTATCCTCATCAACCAATACATTGCAGAGATGGTGCGGCACGCACTCGACGCCCACCAGCGCTCCATTCCAGCCGTTCTGGAGATCCCGTCCAAGGAGCACCCCTATGATGCTGCCAAGGACTCCATCCTGCGCAGGGCCAGGGGAATGTTCACGGCCGAGGACCTGCGCTAGGGCCCTCCCCACAGCCATGCAGCCTCTCCCCAGGCTTGCCCCATCAGCCCTTCTCTAAGTTGTGAGCCTCTGATGTCCAGTTCCCAGCCCCCTGCCCCTTCCCATTCCACTGAGAGGCTAGGTGAGGTGCTTCCATGTTGGCTGCGGCTCTGCCATTAAAGTCAAGGCCGGTTAGGGAACAGGAAGCCTGAGTGTCTTCTCTCCACTACCTCCCTGTTGCTGTTACACAGTGTCACTGTTGATGTTAAATTAAAGTAATGTTCTTGTTTCTCTCCAAACTGATGCTGGGTGCCACAGAGGACACGCATGGGATGAGGCGGTTGGGGGGATGAGATTGGCAGGGCCAGAGATGGTTCTGCCCAAGATCCGGGCATAGAAAAGTTGGACCAGGAGGATGGTGCCAGGAGGTTGTAACTCAAGGATGGGTCCTTTGAATCAACAGTGACCAGCTCCGGTGGGGAGGAACGGGGGGAGGTTTGTGTCCAGGCCCTTGGCTCCCCCACTTCAGTCTCTCTTGGGCTGGGAAGGGACCTGACCCGAAGGGATGGAAGCAGAAACACAGGAAACCTAGAAGCCTGTGATACGAGACCGAGCCTGGGTCCTGCAAGAGGTTTGGAGGTCAAGGCTCTTAGCTGGTGGGCCCTGGCCTGAGGTTGCCTCTGGATCAAGGCATGTGAGGTCTGCTAAAGGCATGGCAAGTAGAACCCTGGCCCTGTGTGAGGTGAGGCTTGGTTGCCAAGTGACTGTCCTCGCAGCCCCCTGCTGTCAGAAGGACCCTGCTTGCTGTTGCTCACCCCTCAGCTGTAGCCACCCTGCTCCTTCCCTGGCTACCATGTCGCGGCAACTCAACATGGATACGCTGCGGCAGAACTTCTGGAAGGAGGAATATCTGCGGGAGAAGACGTTGCGCTGTGAATGGCACCGCAAGTATGGGTCGATGGTGAAGGCCAAGCAGAAGGCTAAGGCTGCAGCGCGCCTGCCCCTCAAACTGCCCTCCCTGCACCCCAAAGCCCCACTCCTACCTCCGCCTGCCCCCAAGGCAGTGCCTACCGAGGCCCCCAGCCCTGCCCCGGAGACTCCTATTCAGTCAGAAATGCACCCGGTCCCGCCTGCCACCCAGGCCCTGCTGTATGAAGGCATCTCCCACGACTTCCAGGGGCGCTACCGTTACCTCAACACCCGAAAACTGGACATGCCCGAGATGCGCTACCTCTTCCCCATCACCACCAGCTTCGCATATGGCTGGCAGCTGGGTGAGCCCCAACCTCTCAAATTATTCATCTCACGAACACGGAGCCCCTGCCCTGAGCCAGGCCGTGCCGTCAGCACTAGGCACACAAGACATGGATGGAGTTGTCCCTTCTGGGGGGTGGGCTCTAGGCTGTAAAGAGGACCTGTCTGATAAGGACAAGTTCCATGATGAGACTAGGGAGTGATGGGGGAGATGGGCAAGGGCCGTGTGAGGCTTTAGACTGGATGGTCGGGAAAGGCCTCTCTGGGGACCCAACTGTTGGAAGCTAAGTGACACAGAGGAATTTGGATTTTATTCCAAGTGGGAGACGAAGCCATGGAGCGTTTTAAGCCGGTAAATGGTACTGGTCGCGTACTAACTATTCTGTAACGGGTTTTTCAGGGAAAGAGTCAACTCTGGCAGCTGACGTCTGCATCTATGTTGGGTCATCCTGGCAGGAGAGGACGATGGCTCGGGCTAGGGTGATTAGCGGTAGAGCCGAGGGAGTTTCAGGCTATGTTTTGGAGGAGGAATCAAGGAAGCCTCCTGAGGGATTGAATGACTGAAGGGGAAAGAAGAACCATGGTGAAGCCCCGGTGTTTGGCTCAAGTGCCTGGACAAGAAAGATGGAGAGGAGCAGGGCTGGGTGGTGTGTGAGGACAGGTCAGCCCTGACCATGCTGTGAGGTGGCTGTGTATGGAGGTCCCCCTGTGGAGTGAGGTCAGAGCTGAAGATGCAAACTTGGGGGTCATCAGAATGTAGGTGCTATTTAAAGCCGGAGTGAGGTCAGAGCTGAAGATGCAAACTTGGGGGTCATCAGAATGTAGGTGCTATTTAAAGCCTGAGGTTGGATGGGCTCACCCGGGGAACTCCAGATGCTGGAATCTGACAGGAGAGGCAGGGGCACAGAGAGGGGTAGGGAGATGGTGTTGGTGGGAAGGCTGTCCATCTGGACCGAGTCTGCTTTTTCTGTGAGGCTGAGAGTCGAGGTTATCCTCTGGGGTGTGGGGTGGGGCGCAGTGGTGTAGTTGGAGATGTAGAGTTAAATGGCATAGGAAAGGACCCTTGCTTCTTGTGCTCATGAATTGTGTGAGTGAGGCTACTCAGTCATGGGTTTTTCTCCCCACGCTTGAGTGCCTGGGCGGGAAAGGTGGATGGCTGGGGATAAACACAGTTGATGTTTTTGCCTAAAAATTTCCCCCACTTTCCCCAAGGTCCTAAAAGGAGGGGAAAAGAGGAATTTCCCCACAAAAGCAGGAAGCAAGTCCCAGGAGAGCAGGAGGTAGAAGGAAGCCCTCTCTCCCCCAGGGACGTCTAGCTCTGTCTGTCCCTGTGACCAGCCGTGCCGGGGGTCCCACCACCCGCTCTGTGGAGGAGCCTGGGGTGGGGGAAACGAAAGCAGGGGGCGGACTGACCAGTCCTGCCCTCACCGCTGCTCTGGACCCCCCGCCGGCTCCCTGTTTGCCCACGGCTGGTGTTGCTCAGAAGCACCTTTTATTCCTCCACACGTCCAAAGTGGATACAGTACAGGCAGATTTCCAGGGCTCCACAGGCAGGGCTCCCATGGTTCCCTTTCCCAGGACCCATTCCTGGCCTCTGACATCTTACCACAGGCCCCCCAGTGAAGCAAGAACTGGTCTCCCGTAAGATGTGCCGCACTGAATCGTTCTTCCGAAAGAATGGGGCCTTCTCGCTGCTTGACCCTCAGGACCTGGCGCTCTGACAATGGCCGGGCAGTGGACTTAGGGGAGGGAAGAAGAAATAACACGCCTCCTGGTGCGGCTGAAGCTGCTGCGTGTGTCTGTGTGTCTGGCCTCCCCGGCCCTGAGGCAAAGTTCTGGGCCTTTCTTGGAACTACCTCTGTTCTGCCCTTTGCGGGCCTGCAGGTTGCCGGCTTGCGTTCTCCTTAATCCTCATCTCTCTAATCATCCCTATGAGGATTCAGCAGGGACGAGAGGGGGGAGAGGGGGCTGGGAAGGGTGAGCGCTCCTCTCCAGCCGAAGGCTCCTCGGCGCCAGGGGGCCACAGTAGCTGCTGGAAGTTCTGGGTGTTCCTGGGAGAGAGTGGCCCGTCATCCCGGAGAATGGGAACCGCTACCGCCCCATCGGCCTCCCCGCCCTCCCCCCTCACCTGGCCCCGAGGGCCCGCAGCCGCCACGTCCTCTCCCGGAGCGCACGCTGCAGCTGCTCCCGCAGGGCGCGCCGCTGCGCCGCCGCGTCCTCCTGGGGCGGTGCCGAGCGCTGAGGCCCCGGCCTCCTCCCCCGCGGGCCTGACGGCGCCGGCCGGCCGCAGCACCCGGGCGGACGCGCCCCTCCCGCCCGCAGTCCGCGTCCGTGCGGGTGCGCGGGGCACGCAATCGGAAGGGACCCGGGAGGCTCCCAGCCCGGCCCGCCGCCCCCCCGCCCGGGCAGGATCGCGGGGGCCCCGCCGCCTTCTCCGGGGAGTCTTGCCTGTGGCGGGAGCTGGGCTGGGCAGGATGGGGGCCCCAGAGGGTGCACCCGGCAGTGGCGGTTCCTGGCGAGGCGGAGGCGTTCCAAGACCTGGAGGAGGCGGCTGTCAGCGGCCCGCCGGCCGCCCCTCGTGCCCCTTGTGCCCCTCGTGCCCCAGGCCGGCCCGGCGCGGCGCGGCGCGGGTACGCACTCGGAGCCGCTGCTGCTCGCGGGCCTGCCGCCGCCGGCGCCGGGCCGCGCGGTGCAGCTCCAGCAGCCGCTGCAGAGCCGTCTCCTGCTGCGCCGCGCTCACGCCCGCCGACGCCTTCTCCCGGCCGGGGAGCGCGGGCCACGCGGCCTTCGAGGCCTCGGGGGCCTCCGCGCCGCCCCCCCGCTCCCCGACGGCGCCCAGGAGCCTAGCGGAGCCGCCGCGCACCTGCTCCGCCGGGCCCGGGCTTCCCTCCGGGTCCTGAAGCCCGTGCGGGTCGCGCAGCAGCCCTGGGCGCCCCGGGAGAGCCGCGGGGTGCTCCTGCTGCCCCGAGCCCCCGGTGCCTGGGGCCGCTAGCGGCTCGGCCCCTGGGCCTGGGAGCCGCGGCCGGGCCGGAAGCCTCCGGGGTGGAAAGGGAGGCCGCGCCCCCTCCCGGACGGCCCTCGGCTCTCCCGCGGCCGGTGCCGACTCTTGGCTCCCGCCGTCAGTTTTGTCCTGCGTCAGCTGGGTGGTCCTATCACCGGAGCCAGGGCTCTCCCTTCCCCCAGGCTGAGGCTTCTGTTCTCCCAGGGACCGGCAGACATCCCTAGAAATTCCCAGGGAGGCGCCTTCCTCGGGGGGCTGTGTAGGCGCCTCTCCCTCAGCCACCTCCCAGGCTTGTGAGATGCGGCCTGGCGAAGTCTGAAGGGCCTTCACTTCCCCGCCCCGAGGAGTCTCCTTCCTCGGCTCCTGGAGGACCTCTTTTCTCTGGCACTGAGGGCTGTTTCCTCTTTGACCTTGAGGAGACTCGCTCCTCTCACTCTGGGGAGCCTCCCCCCGGGGGTACACAGAGACTTCCTCCCCCAGAGCCCCAGTGGCCTCCCCACTCTGACCCTGGTGTATCTTCTCTCTCTGTCTCTTAGGAACTTCTTCGCTCTCCCCGCTGGGGGCCTCCCCTTTCCGACCCTGGGGACGCTGTTTATGCTCTTGGGAATCCTCCTGTCTCTGCCTCTGAGGAATCTCAGTCCTCAGCAGTTTCTGAAGTTCTGCTCTTTCCTGGCCCAGGCTCCCGCCCCGCCCCACAGGGGGATCTTGGGGTTCTGACAGGCCCTGGGAGGGCAGGCCTGAGGGCCTTGGGGCTCCCTGAGCGAGCTTCCTCCCCCATAGGCTTGTGGAGGGCCTCTGGGTTGTAGGTCCTGCTTGTCTCCTCTCTCCCCTCTGGGCCAGGTCCTGGGAAGGAAGAGCATTTGGGTCCAGGCTTGTGAGGCAATCCCCATACCTTGGCCACTTTCCCCCCAAAGGACCTTGGAGACCTCAGTGGCTGTCCCAGTGGACCTCATTTCCATTACAGCCCTTGCCTGATTCCTGAACTCGTTAAGCCTACTTTACGTGGTGTAAAAGGTGCTTCAGTGCGGGTCCCTTCTTCCACCTGGCTATAGGAGGTGGCATCACCTCCCCCCAGTAGCCTCCTCCCAGGCAGACCCACCCCTGCTATCCCCAATCTGAGAGGGCTTTTGCCCAGAACACTTTAACTCTTTCACCTTGAACTCAGAGCTTCCTGGGTCCCCAAAGCTACTGCTGATGGTGGGGTTCGGCTCTAGTAAGCAACCTGAGGGAGAAAGAACAATGTCAGGAACCCTCTGCTCATATCCCAGCCCCTCACACACATTCCACCTGAACTGGAACCAAGAAGCCTAGGGAGTCCCCAGCACATAAGGGGAAGGGGATGCCCTGAGGACCGATGTTTGAACTTCAATGCTGTCACAGTTCATAGGTCCACCTTTATTCAAACTACCTGCCATGTACCTGCTTGTTGGATTTGCCTGTCAACAGCCGACCACATCTTCCTCATCCCCCCAGCCGAGGCAGAGCACCTCAGAGGGACCTGCACACCCTTGTCCTCAAAACCACCAGGGGATGCCTTGGGGGCGGGAAGGATCTGTTGGCCAGGCTTGTCAGTCCCTTACAAGGACACCCCACTTCCTCCTGGTGGGCCCCTCTAGGCCCGTAAAGAAACCCACAGTAGGCACCTTATTTTACTGTTATTAAGAAAAATCCTCCTTAGGGCTTTCTTGGTTGCTGACGGTAAAATCAAATGAAACTCAAGAAGTGAAATTTGAGGCTGGAGCCGGCCCTAAAAACTGCAAGTTTCATAATTAACAAAAGAAATCTAAAAAGAGAAATGAAATGTCTCTGCTCCCTTGCAGCTGTGCAGGAAAGAGAGTCATTCTGCAGCCCTAGAACTAGTTAAAAGAACTTGATTTTGTAAGACCCTAAATGGAGAACTTTCACAAGAATATTCCATCTTTATGCAATGTGGATGTGTGAATATTCACAAAAGTAACCAAATGGGTAAGTTCTTTGTGACAATGTCTTTTGAACAAAGGAGTCTGATAAGACTCCCAAGCCTTTAGAAATGATTGCCATGAACCACTGAACATGACCCCCAACCCTGTGCCCTCACAATTCTGATCTGTTGTCTTACTAGAGAACTTATTCCTCTGGTTATAATGTAACTGACGCCTCTGTATTCCCAAGAGATCTTTTACTTGTAAAAATCTCTGCCAATCAGAAAAAACAAGCATTGGCTCTTTGCTTTTCTCTCATGTGCATGATGGAACAATTAGAGGCTTCTGGCTCAACTAGGTTTATTTAACAAATAATTTGAGAGTCTGGTTCATTTAAATTGATAGGTCCAGGGTTCACAGCATCTATCCCATGGAATTCTAATTGCCTGTTTATGGTTGCACTCTCACTAAGCTGTGATCTCAGTGACAAGGACCAAGGAATGGGGCCAAGTCCGTCCTGTGCTCTGTATGTTCCCAGTGCCTGGCGTGAGGGGGGGCAAATAGGTGACAGGTGCCGCTGTCCCATCCCTCCTCCCTGGGCCACCGCGCACAGCCATTCCAGCACTCCCTCCCCTGAGCCCCAGTTTAGCTTCAGAATCCTGGACTCCGTGCCTGAGACAGCTGGTACTGAACAGGCGGAACTGGGACATAAAATAAAACCTACTTCTTGTCCCCGGGTGCTCCTTGGCACCCAATAAAAAGTATGAGATGAAGAATGAGTGAGAAGGGGACTGGGATCCTAGCACTTGGCATGAGGACTTCCCACCTCCTCCCAATCTTGTCTGGCCACCCAGCCAGGGTGTCAGCATACCGGGTGTGGGCTCTGCAGGCATAGCAGGGCTCCCCCATCTTGGGTCTCTGTCACTCCTAGCTTCACCCAGATCCAGGGCCGATGATGGGTCAACTGCCTGCCCCCTGCAGGAGTCAGAGGCTGCCTCAGAATCGCCTCTTGCAGCCCATGGGCTCTAGAAAGGGGAGGCAGCCTGTCCGCCAGTCTCCCCACTCCAATGCCTTTGAGCCCAGTCCAGGGCGGCCTCTCCCAGCCCCTGCATCCACCCCTGGGTCCCAGGAGCTGGAACATGGGGGTCACCCTTTCCAGGGGCTGTGGGGCCAGCATATGGGTACAACTGAGTGAGGACCCCAAGAGGAGCCTTGGGCATAAGGAGGAGGTCCTAGGCAGGACTGTGGAAGGAGATAGGAAAAACGGTCCAGGGCTTGGCCCTTTTGTGTGGCAATACAAACTGGACAGAATTTCCTGGGAAAAAGGCTCACCCCTCTGGAAGCTGATGGTTCTGGCTCAGAGAGTCCCCAGCCTGGGGCAGTGGGCACAGCCTGGAACTCTGGAAAGTTGGAAGGTGCCCTAGTCCACAGGGCATCATCCCCCAGTGTGGTGGGCACCATTTAAGATGGCCCAAATCATCCCTCCTCCTGGTACCCATGCCCACGTATGACCCTGCTCTCTTCCCCTCCTTGTGAGGAAATGGATCACTCCTGCCCATTCGAGCCTGCAGATGAGATGAGACTGCTGTTCTGGCCCAATAGGGTCGCCGGGACCCTCCCTTAGCGGTCACCACTAACACCCCCTCTCGCTGCAGCTGAGGATGCCTCGGCTCTCAGAGAGGGCTGCCAACCTGCCCAAAGTGCCTCGGACATCTGGTAACTGAGAACTGGGAGGCACAGTCCCAGGTCCCAGTCACCATAGCACCCTCCCTCCTAGAGGGGCCAGCCCAGCCACCAGCCCTGGGGGGAAAGGGTCCGTGGACCCCGGGCATCAGTGCCTCTGCCCTCAGGAGCCAGCCGTGCAGGCTTGCTTTCCTCCCACCCTGCAGCCATGTCTAAAGCCTTCAAGATGTCACCATGCCATTGATTAGACCAAGATAGTCATTAATTGCAGGTCCAGGCACCGTGCTAACCCCTTTACATGGATGAGTTTACTGGTGCTCCCTTTGAGTAAGATCGATTATCTTCCCCATTTTGTAGCTGAGGGAACAGAGGCTTACGGTCTCCAGGGAGCATCAGACCAGAGAGAACCCAGGCCCGTCTGTGTCTGAAGCCCATACTTATTCCTCTTCCCTCGCCACCACCATCACCTCGATGTCACACCGACCCCCCCCCTTGCCTTCAGCCAAGCCCCCGCTCACCCAGCTGGTCCGCCGCTCAGGGCCCCCGCCTGTCCCACCATGGGGCTTGCCGCACTGACTCCGTACACACTGGGCCTGGTCCCTCAGACCACAGAACTTGGCCCAGGGGGGCCAGAAGAGGCTCAGCCCTGCCCCAGTCAGCAGCTCCAAGTCCCACAGCAGCTGCAAAAAGAGGGGGTGCCAGGGCATGAAGGGGTGCCCACCCTGCCCTCTGCCATGCCCCTCGGCCAGCCCCTACCTGCTGCTGGGCCCGCCGGCTCCGCTCCATCTCCAGCAACACAGTGGGGAGCTCCAGTCCTGATCGACAGGCCCGACTCTCTTGCACCTGGGGGACACGATAGAGTCAGGCCTCTGCCTTGCCCTTCGGAGGCAATGCCTTACCCCCCTCACCTGCTGCAGGGCAGCCTGGAGCTGGCCCGGGCTTGCAGGGCATCTAAAGAGGTGCTGGTACAGGGCCAAGGCCTGCCTGTGGCTACAAGGGAGCCCCGGGCCCCCAGGTGTGGCTGTGTGCTCCATGGGGAGGGGGAGCCAGAGCAGATGTCCCCTCCCTCCTCTCCTCTGCTGCTGGAATGGGGGGAGGGGAGGACCAAGAACCGAGGAGGAGACAAAGGCTCCTGAGCTCAATAATGCAGGGACCTGACATCTGAGCCACGGCCTGGACCCCAGCCAAGTCTCAGAGAGGGCCTGCCTCTGACCTGGGTTTCTTGGCTGTAGGGGGTGGCAGCGTGGGGCGAGGACTGGGACCTGGCTGGAGAGAGTGGTGCATGCGTGTGCTTGTTTGCAAGCCTGAGAGCATGTGTCTTACGTGTACGTATGACACTCGCAACTGCGTCATGTACACACGTAACGGGCCCCACGCGGACCACAGCCACCACGGGCTCACTCACCGTGGGCCAGGAAACAAAAGGCTACATCCGTGTAATCCGTCCCTGACGCAACTCTGTGAAGTGGGTGCTAGCATCCTCATCCAGTCTTACAGACTAGCAGGTGGCCCCGGAGAGCCGAGTTGCCCCAGCTAACGTGGGGCAGCATCTCCCTCATCTGGAGGCAAGTGGCTGTGATGAAGGGGCCTGGGGGAAACGTGGTCCCAGGGATGAGGAGCCCCCACGGGCAGGACAAGGGCGAGCACTTCCCAGGTGCCTGCTCCACGCTGTCCACGTGCAAAGTGCTAGCCCTGGGTCTACTCTGTCTACTCGTCATGACACACGAGATACAGCAGGTGACGGCATGGTTTGTGAAGGTTGGGCAGGGACAAGGGCACGAGCTGGTCTGTCATTGCCACATCCCCGCTGTCCTGAGCAGCCTCGTGCACCTGCTGCTTTGCAACTGCTCCGCGAGAGCCTGGGGCCAACTCCCCTTGGGGGGCTCACGGGTGGGCTGAGCTAGCAGCTGGTGTCGGGTCAGCCCAACTCCCTTCACTCCTGCTGAAGGAAAAGGGAGCTGCAGTGAGAATGTAGTACCCCCTCGTCTTTTACCCAAGGCCCCTACATCACCAAGGTCACAGCCAATAGGTAGCAAAAACAGAGTCCTTTTTGCAAAGAGACTTTTCAAAGAAATAGGCTTGTTTTCTATTTCCGAACCCATGTTCTTTCCTCTACAAGGATGTCCCCTACTCACATGTCCATCCAGGGTGGGTGTGGCTGTGAATGCACACAGGGGCCCACGCGTGTGCTGCCCATGTTTACCTGGGTTTCTGAGGGGCGTGTGTGCACAATGTGCATGTGCACGTGCGCATGTGTATTTTGTGCATGTGCACGTGTGCATATGTTCGTGTGTGTATGTGTGGGTGTATGTGCGTGGGTGTGTGTGTATGCGTGCGCGTGTATCCATATTTCATCATGGTCTATTGTGTCTCCAGTTCCCCACCCCAGGCATGTCCCTGTCACCAGCTCTTAGAGCGGCCCTGGAGACACCTAGCACTTGGTATCCCCCAAGTCAAGAGGAAAGGGAATGCCATGTGAGGACTGAGCCCCTTTTCTGTGCTCCTCAGCCCCCACAGAATTCCACATGAACCACTGAGGGACCATGGGCCACACTTGCGACACAGTACGACCACAGAGCTGAGACCAAGATATCTAGGTCTTCCTTCCATCCAGTGCAGGGTTTCCCAGGCAACCCCAGGGTATGGCAGGTGGGGGCAGCCCAGGCAGGTGCAAGATGTGATGAGCAAGATCCAGGACTCAGCTCCCACAGCTGCCACCTCTCGGATTCTGGGGACAGCGATCACCGGACCCCATGTTGCAAGCAGCCCATACCATCAACGCAGCACCAGGAGAAAACACACATACACACAAGTAGGCCGTGGGAGAGCCCCCAGTTTTACTGCTTCTGACTGAACACAGTGAGGTCTTTGTGGGACATAGGCCCAGGCTCCCAGTGCCTGGGTAGGGTACTCTTTCCACGCTCTGGCCACGGCGGGAGCCGTTCTCCAAGGGGAGACTTTTGACCCGATGAGTCCTGGTGTCATCCTGGCTCCGGGTGCCCCCTGAGGCTACTGGCTGGGGCTGGGCAGAGGCCTGGGGGGCTGGTCCCCAGTGAGTTGGATGGGGGGGCAGGCCTCGGGTGAGACACAGTGGGCCTCATGCTCCACCAGGCCTGCGGGGCACTGGCAGCCAGGAACGCAGGGCCTCACACAGCGGGCTGCCAGCTCCCCTGGGGGGACGTGCTGGTTGAAGCAGGTGCGGGGACAGGGCGGGCCACACTCATCGAACACGAAGCCACGGTCCAGGGCACAGCCCACGACTGCAGGTGGAGGGGAAGGCAGGGTCACGGGGGCACCCCGTCCAGACCCGAGCCCTCTGTGCCACCCTCTTCCCCAACTCGCACTGGGCTTTGCCCCCTCACCGCAGAGTGTGGGCCCCCGCCAGGCAGGCGTCACCCCCGCCCGGCGGCAGTGGCTGGCATAGGCCTCCAGGGCGTCACAGAGGCAGGCATCGGCCAAGGAGCCGGGGCCACAGGCACATAGGTCATACACGCAGGCGGCAAAGAAGGGCTCCGGCGGCACCACAGCATGGCAGCGGCCGAACGAGGAGGACGTCAGCACCCCACACCGGGCATTGGCCTCACGCCTGGCTCGGTAACCTGCTGCCCTGCACGGATCCACCTCGCGGCCCTTGGAACATGGCCGGCTAGGTCCCGGCCCTTCTGGGACCTAGGCGGGAAGAGTGACCCTGAAGTGACAGCATCCACTGGCAAGCTGGCCTTGGTGTGCTACGTTCTTCAAAACACTTTCCACCAAATATTTTGGTTTAGCTTCAAAAACCTCCCTACAAGAACAGCAAAGGAAGCACCGGCCACTTTCTCCTTGTCCCCATTTTACAGATGGACAAGCCAAGGCCCAGAGCAGGTAAGGGACTTATCCAAGGTCACACAGCCGGTGAGTGGCAAGGCAGGGCTTGTGGATTTAGATGATGCCTCTTTCAACAGGCTGTCCTGCCTCCCCCAGCACCATGACCCCAAATCATCCTGAAGCTGCAAAGCCCTTCAGTGATCCCCCTGCTTTCCATATAAGCAGGCTGTTCTAAGACTCCCACTCAACTGTGCCTCCCTCAGCCACCCAGCTCCTGTGCCACTCACCTGCCAGCTATTCCCAAAGGCAGCCTCTGTGGGCAGGAGCAACCCCTCAGGGCCCTGCAGATCATCCTGGGCAAAGCCATTGAAGTTCCCACAGAGCCCACACATCTGGCCCCGGTAGGAGCCAGGCACGCTCACCTCCACCTGAGACTGCCCATCCCACAGCACCTGTGCAGAGAGGCTGGCATTGGGGAGTGGGGAAAAGTAGGGACCCCGTCCTGGCCCCAGGCACTGTCAGCACCCCTCCCTGCTGGAGGGGAGGAGAATGGGTGGATAGAGGCCCCCCATGGAGAGGAGGCAGCTCTGGCCCAAGCCAAGTTGGCCCGCCCACACTGTGTGAGTCCTGGGCGAAGACATGAAGAGCTGCCCACACTCTGGCAGGAGGGCACCTTCTCCCATTGGCATCCCTGAGCTGAGCCCCTGGTGAAATGCAAACCCACTTCCAGAGATTCACTTTCTCGTGGGCATTAGGGCCTGACAGAGGACAAAGCACAATTTGAGTCCAGATCAGAAGTATAGACAAGCCTTATTTTACGAATTTGTAGATTGTACTTCTTGCTGAAGGCAGGGAGAAATTTACTCTCTGACATGGGAGTTGGAAGGAATCTCAGAAGCCACCTAGGAGACCTCAGTTGACATGCCCCCCAACAGTTCCCCCTTTTTACCAATGAGAAAACAGGCCCGGAGGAGGCTGGTACTGGCCTAAGAGTCCCACTGTGTTGGTGGCTGAACCAAGATTAGAAACTAGGCTCAGAACTCCTTTCACTGCACCCAAGAATCCCAAGATCCCCTCAGAATCCAGCCGAACTTTCTCACCTCCCTGGCCTGATCTGGCCCTGGACCTAGCCGGTATTCCCACTCCCTTTCCAGATACAGACGCGTGAACCGGTCCGGGGCTCCCACACCCCCACTGGCCCTGGCGGCCGCACCTGGAGCCCTGCCTGGGCGTGCAGGATCACCGTGCGTCTCTGCAGCTCCACGTACAGCAGCGGCTCCTGTAGGAAGGGCAAGGCCACCGGGCGCCCGTTCACCTGGAGGAGGGAGGCAGGAAGGGGGGGGTGACGCCGGGACTGACGAGTGGACCGCGGACGGCGCGGGACCGACCTTCCCCGGGTCCTCAGCTCTGCTCACCGTGACCGCTCTGCCCTGCAGCAGCCGCACGACCACGTCTCCGAGCAGCACCGCCACCTCCTGGGTCCAGGCCACACCCCTCCGGCCCCGGTTATCGTTGGTCACGTGCACGCTGTGGCGTGAGAGGCCCAGGTGCCGTGGTCAGCAGGGACAGGTGTAGGGAGTTGGGGGAAGGCAGAGGGGGCTGCGCACCTGAAGTCCGCTCCGCGGCAGTCCTTGGCCAGCACATAGCTGCAGCTGCCTTGAAAGTGCAGCAGGCGGCCGTCGAAGGTGCGGTAATGAGGGTCTCCGAAGGCCGTGCAGGAGGCGGGTCGAGGCAGGCAGCGGGGGCAGCAGCTGCCGGGACTCAGGGCGGGGGCCTCGTCCTGGCCTCAGCCCCAGACCGCATCAGACACATCGCCCTCCCCGCCGTGCCCCACGCAGAGACTCCCCGGGACCGAGGACTCGGACTCCCGCCTCCGGGCTCACCGCGAGCGGGCTCAGGGCGCCGCCTTGTGGCCGCGCCTGGAACTGCACGGCCTCGGGTACCTCCGCCCCACCGCGCGGCGGCCGCTACCCCAGCCCAGCCTCCCTCCTTCCTCCCGCCTCTTCTCACCCGGACGGCGGTGCCACGTGCCCACTCACCCCCACCGCCCTCGACCGCGGCACTCACGGGGCCACAGGAGAGCGGCGGGCAGCGCTGGCTCTGGCAGCGCACCGTGCCGGCCACGCAGGAGCAGGTGGTGCAAACGTCCACGGCCCAGCGCTCCCCGGAGGCCACCGCCCGGCCCTGGTGTGCGCACGACTGGGCGGGGGCTGAGGCGACAGGAGCG